CAGCAGCACTGCTAAAATGTATTTCCACCCAGTTCTGGGTATATATGTATCTTGCAAAATCTTGGATCATTAAAAGTAAACATATTTTTTTAAAATTTTTCAGAAAGCCCTAACCGGTTTGGCTCAGTGGATAGAGCCTCGGCCTGCGGACTGAAAGGTCCCAGGTTCGATTCCAGTCAAGAGCATGTACCTTAGTTGCAGGCACATCCCCAGTGGGGGTTGTGCAGGAGGCAGCTGATCGATGTTTCTAACTCTCTATCTCTCTCCCTTCCTCTCTGTAAAAAATCAATAAAATATATTTTTTAAAATCTCAGAAATACTCAGTGGCTTAAGTAAACTTCTCTGTGGCTGAATGTGTGGTAGAGACTATATTTTATTCCTGTACATTGCAGTGTAGCTATTTGACAGGTTTCCAAATAGAATGTACATCTCTGTTAGTGCCTGTTCTTAGTGATTTTTTTTTAAGGTGAAAGAGTAAACGGCAGCCAAAAGCCTGGTCAAACTGGACATTCTTGTTCCGCTTCTATTAGATAAGGACTATTTCTTAGAGAAACACCAACCTAGTTAACAAGACATGATATTTATCTGTTTTTAAAATCTTGTAAAAGCCACAGTGTCTTCCTGTTAAAATGCTTATCATGTGCTCTAGAGTGAAGAGCAAATGTAAAACTTCATGATTTTCTTTGGTTGAAATAGACTGTGAAGGTAAGAAATTTTTCAAGGGAACAACCCGTGAATTAATCAAATAAATGCTGTGTTTTCTTAGCCTTGTCATCAATCATCAGGAAATATTGAGCATTGTCTACAATAAACTGCTGTATCCAAGCAATCTGATACCATACTTCCCTTTCAAGGATTACTATACAGGGTGAGGCAAAAGTAGGTTTACAGTTGTTCGTATAGAAAATAATACAATAATTAATAAATAATAATACAAGAGTGAATGCTGTGTTTCATGTACTCACAACTGTAAACCTACTTTTACCCCCACACTGTATGTCAGGCTCAGACTTCAAACCTGATCTTTCTTTGACACTTTTATAATGCAATATGCTGGGCTCTTTATTTCTTGTCCCCATCTTCTTTATCGTCTGGGATATGAGAGATGATACTCTTCTCACCACCTCTGTGTCTCCTGCTTTCACTGGGTGTGAGATGTAGGTCTGCAGACCTCACAGTGGTCTGAAGAAGTGAAGTCAGATGTGACACTCCTGGTGTCCCACTGGAGATGTAGGTCTCAGAGTTCATGTCTGGGGTAGGAAGAGGGGAGCCCCTTATCAATTGGCTGCGTCTACAGGTGAAAGAGAAGTGAAGGTTATTCCCTGCAGATGTATTTGAATTTGGTGAATCTGGAACATTACAATAAAGATAGCTATGATGTAGTTAAATATGGAGCACAGTCATCTCTCTTAGGTCAAAGCTGGAGGTGTAGATCATGGAGTCAACTTTGTAGAGTTGAGAGATGAAAGCAAGGTGCTGGGTGAGTTCTGTAAGAGAATTACATTCAAGGTGAACATAGGCTATAGACTAAGTCTTACATTTAGCAGGAAAAGGTAGATCCTTCAAGGAAACAGGGAAGAATGGAAAGTATGAGGACTTGGAATGATCAGTGTCTGAAAAACTGAATAATGGTGAGTATAAATATTTTCCAGGCAGAATGAACCTAGAGCTATGAAGGAGAGAAAGAAGTACCATATGATTCTTGTTTAGTAGCATAGATTTCTTGTTTAGATAACAGGATAGATGGGTGACAGCACCATATCACCAACATCAAAAGAGCAGTTTTACTCGTCTACTGAGCCAACGCTTCTATGAACCAATACACGACTGAGCTTCCTTGGGAATATCTGGGAGGAGCTCCCCCATTAGATGGCTATGGCTCCTGTGCTCATGAGCAAAGCAGGAAAGTGGTATTTCTCAGATTGGAGTCTCCAGGCAGATTTTTGTATGCTGAAGTTTATCGAGAACACTATCAAGATCAGAGTCTCTGGGGCAGGGGTGATGAGGACAGAGGTGGACTTTGAACAACAATTACAAAAAAGGCCTGAGATAATTTTATGGAAAGCTGTGGAGTTGGGAGAGCCCCTACAGGTTGTCTCAAATTCAGACAGAAGCTGAAACTAAACCTCCACCAACCAGTCATGGGGTGCAGATTGCAAACCTTGGGCTGACTGGCTCTCCTTGGATGCACACCATCCCCAGGGGGCATGTCCCTTGAGAACTGCGGCATTCTAGCACCCCCAGCAGCAGGAAGATTGAGCACTTCAGTTGCGAGGGAAGTGGGGGATCTGGGCAGCAGACCACAGCATCCGCCCCCTGTGCTGCTCAGATCTTCTTGGTTTACCAAAGTTCTTGGAGCAGCTCTTCTAAGATTCCAGAGGCACTCTTTCCTGGAGAACACTTCAAGAGGAAGGGTAGTAGGATAAACTACATCCCTTTCTGCCTCAGCAGGTCTCACGATCACACTGATCATCAACTCATTCCTCTACTGTTCATTGGAGAGTCCCCTCACTCTTGGCTGAAAGGCTTAGTTGGTGAAAGTGACACATACCCACACGTACCCTGTGGGATCTGAGTCCCTGGTACCAGGCCCTTCTCAGACTGGGTCTGCTGCCCTTGTCCAATTACTGTAAAACTGAGCAAGGGAGTAAGTAACAACAGATGCCCTGTTGTGTCACCGGGGTGCCACACATAGTCTTTCCTCCCCCTTTTTGTGGCCACACCTTTTCTTGATGATCATGGTTAATTACTCCTGCCAGGATAATGACTTCTTTTCTTACCTGCTGGTATTTGGCACAAGAGCCCAAAATAACTGGTTAACAGCTATAACTTAAAATGTAATGGTATTCTTTTTTTTAAATTTTGTTTTATTGCTTAAAGTATTACAAAGAGTATTACATATGTCTCCTCCCCGCCCCCCCTTGACATTCCCCCGGCCTCCCCTACCCCCCAGGGTCTTATGTCCATTGGTTATGCTTATATGCATGCATACAAGTCCTTCGGTTGATCTCTTACCCCCTCTCCCGCCCCGCCACCCTCCCCAGCCTTCTCGCTGTAGTTTGACAGTCTGTTCGATGCTGCTCTGCCTCTGTATCTATTTTTGTTCATCAGTTTATAATGGTCTTTATTATCCATACATGAGTGAGATCATGTGGTATTTTTCTTTCATTGACTGGCTTATTTCACTTGTAATGGTATTCTTGTTTTTTCTCCTGATGGAAGGGCTCCCCTCCTGTGAGCCAAGCTCTGTAATCCTATGGGATTTAGAGTTTCAGGGGTAAGAAGCCTAGATTCCCCAAACAGGGCACTGAGAGAGAGGGTACTCAGGGTCACTTCTCCTTCTTCCAGTCCTTATTTCCAAGATCCACATGTTCTTGCTGTTGGGGACCCAGCAGGGTTTTTAGGGTTTACACTGCATGCTAGAGCCTGGAGTGCCATCTTGTAGGGTCATCTCCAAGTTGGTGTTTCACTGATACATTCAAATGGCTGTCTCTCTAGTGTGGCAAGCTGGCAGTTCCTGAGTTGTATGGTACGTGAGAGGGTTTATGTATTCCACAGTCTTGCCATGCACCCACTTTGCTGTAAGTGGGCCTTGTGGTCTGATGTGATTTAGCACGCTGGTCAGTAGAGCAAGCATTCTGCAAACGCACAGATAGTGGTGCTGGTTTCTCTTTGAGGGATGGTGGTGTATTGGGGCTCCAGATTGGTCTCTGTTGCTGTCAGTAGCTACATTTTCCTTAGAGAGTGGGGCCTGTGCAGAGCCTCCACCACTGCCACCATGGTTCTCTGTTCATGTGCCAGCACTGGGGTGGCCAATGGCTGGCCAGTGTCCACCAGCTGAGTCATTCGGTCCCTCTCTTCTGTGCTGGACGTCCATGGTAGACATTAACCACCCATACAGATGTCACGCTTCATGTCCATTCCTTTAGCCAGGTCCACATGCCTCTTCCTGAGGTCTCTTTGACCTCTGCCTTCCAGTCCCCTGAACAATCAACCAAGTCATTTACCATGTCCAGTGAATCCATATGTCATTACCTCAGACTACTTCTCTTTCCACTCAAGTGGATGACCAAATAAATGCTCTGCCCATGCTATGCCCATTGGGAGGATTTCCCTTCGTTGCTGTCTTTTAAGATCACCCCTGAGTGGAGCTGCAGTGCCGGCCACAGTCCATTTTCAACTTTCACTTTTCTACTGAGCCAACCCTTCTATGAACCAAATTTGGCCATTTTCCTCTCTGTCACTTGGTCATAAGGGCCCCACCCCCATGCAGCAGGAGGTGTGAACGGAGGAAGAGGTTTTGGTGCAACAGAGGTGATTGACATGATAGTCTGGCATACCTGCCTCTGCAGCTCACCTGTGCCACTTCCATCTGTGGATGGATTTCTTTGGGTCTGTCTGACCTTGGTAGGTCTCGTACTTCTGACCACATGCTTACTTTATGCCCAGGATCAAGCACACTCTGTCCCCAGGGTCTAGCAGCAGGTTTTCAAAAGTGTATCATTCTCTGCACACTCCTGCTCCAGGATCTAGCTAGCCCATGGTTTTCCCCTTGTGGCTTGCTGCAAATTCCACAGTGTCTTTCCCCACTGCAGACCCTTTGAATACCACAGGATCTTCCAGGTTGTACAGTCCAGTAATCCATGAAATAGAGCAAATAAATCAGACCAAAATCCCTGGAGAGTACATGCGAGTCAGGCAACTATGCAAGGATGCCCTTTGGTCTGTGGCTCTGCCCTCTGCTTGGCAGGCTCCTCCACTTTCCAAGGTGGGTCTTGCCCCCACCAGGTCTGGGGTTCAGAATCCCACACCTGGACTCCTGCCAGAGGCTTTACTGACATTGACTGGTCTGCTGAGAGTGAAGAGCACACTATTTCTTCGGTGTCCCCTCATTTATTCCCAAACATCGGCCTTGAGATATAATAGTTAGTTCCTTCGTGTCCTGGAGGCTTGGGGTGCTGGCTTGCCCAGGGACACACACCTGCCGATGGGAGTGCAGGATTGGGACTCAGTGTGTCAGACCGCAAGGCCTCTGCCCCGATGCTTCATCAGGTTGCATCCCAGTTAGGAGAGCTCCTTGGTGATTTTCTTGCGTTTTTTGCTTTGGCTGGCAAAAAACTCAGTGCCAAGGTTATTTTAATGTTCAATCAAATTAACTGTTTAACCCAAAGTTAGAACTTCTGCTTCCATCTTCCATATGTTTTTTAAAATATCTCTCTGTGTTTTTTAATGTCCTTATATCTTTTATTGTAGGCAACCTCAAATTCTGTTATTGTATTTAAAATAAATCTGTTTTTTGTTTAAAAACTGTTGATTTTCAGCCCTGCCTGGTGGATCATCGTTAGTTAGAGCATCATCCTGTACACCAAAAGGTTCGGGGTTGAGTCCAGGTCAGGAGACATAATACCTAGGTTGTGGATTCAATCCCTGGTCAGGTGCATATGGGAGGCAACCAGTTGATGTTTCTCTCTCTCTCTCTCTTTCTCGCTCTCACTCTCACTCTCACTTTTACTCTCGCTCTTCCTCTCTCTCAATTCAATAGACATATCTTCAGGTAAGGATAAAATAATTAATAAATAAATACTGTTGATTTTCAGATGTTTTTCATAGAACCCTGAGTTTATTTGATCAGAAAGTCTTTCAGTTACTAATTTACTTACATTAGATTAATCTGCAGTTTGTAATTTTAAGCATTCTAAAGTAATGCTGAAGTGTTGTTTCAGTGTATTTCTATTTCTTTTTACTGCTTTCTGTCGTATTTCATCTCTCAGCCTGGAAGCTGCTTCGCACTCTCTGTCACCCACCTCCTGTGGTCCTCACTTGGCTCTGGTGTCACAGTGTCATAGTCAGTCTGTCTGTCGATACTTGAGACTCTGACCAAGACTGGTGGGTACTCTGTGGGCACAAAAGAGTGAAAAACATGTCCTTTCCTTTAAACAACCTCAGGAAGGTGGGGCAGATATACTTGAATTAGATACGCATCTGAGAACACTGAAATATTGACCGGAGTACCCAGAGCAGGAAGATATCCAAGAAAAGCACCCTCAGTGTGGACCCATATCCTGAAAAGAGGTTTCTAGGACTAGAAGGATGGGCAGGATTTGGATGGGCAGAGAAAATGAAGCAAATTATCCCAGAGGAGAAGAGCAGCAAGAGTGAGGAAGGAATGGAGGTGAGAAGGCAGCCCTGGAAAGGAAAGAACTCGGGGAGACGTGTCTGACTAAAGAGTGGTAAGGTACAAAGTGAGAAATGGTTTGACAGTCTGTTCGATGCTCTGTGTCTCTGGAGGGAGTGGGGGAGGTAAGAGATCAACCAAAGGACTTGTATGCGTGCATATAAGTATAACCAATGGACACACACAGTAAGGGGGTGAGGGCATGTGCTGGGGGTGTGAACGGCTGGGGAGAGCTCAATGGCAAAAGGAGACATATGTAATACTTTAAACAATAAAGAATTTACATTTTTTTAAGTGAGAAATGGGAAATAACCCAGCAAATGTAATAGAGGGAGATATTTTTAAGCCTCTCAACCAATTTAGGTGTTGACACTAGAAGCAGTGAAGAATGGTTTAGTTACTAATAAAGTCAGGACAGTTATCTCAGACAAATTCATCATATTGTCGTATAAGATGGATGGGAAAATGGAGAGAGCAAGAGTAAGAGACAAGTAGAAAGTGGTTTTTAAATCCAGCTGTCAGCAGTATAAAAGCCTTGGCTAGGGTAACAGCAGTCTCTCCATTTAGTTCCTCTGTTCGCTCCTCAACTGTGTTGTTTCCCAAGCTCCACTCCTTCCTCAGCCTCCTGAGCTTTCTATCCTCCATCTCCCAGCAGGTGACCCACCCCATGCATCGCTGTCAGCACATGTAACAGGCTCATGGCTCCCAGATTTAGGTCTCTGGACTAGACCTCCCTCCCTCCTGGCTCCCGATCTTCATATCCCACTGCCTACTGGACATCTCCACTTGTGTTCCACAGGCACTTGAAATTTCCCATTTCTTTGCTAAATCTGCTTCTCCTTCTCACTCTCTACCCTGATGAGAAGCACCATTATCTACCCAAAGGCCCAACCATAAAATCTTAAACTTTTCCCTTATGCATTCATAACCCTCTTTCCCCCTCCCCCGATTAAGTACCATAGAGTCTTCCTTCTTGATGTAAATCTGCCATTTCCCTCTCTTCATCCCACTGCCTTAGTTCAGACCACCTCTCTACTTACTGGATTTCTACTAACATATTGTCACAACTGCCTCCCTCTCCCTATAGTTCAGCCCGCAGAGTGATCTCATTGAAAACACAAATCTGATTGTTCACATCTACTAGAATCCTTCAGAAGCCCCTTTAGCTTTCAAGGTAGTTACAGCTCATTACACAGGCCCCTTCCTGCTTTGTAGCCATATCTCTGGCTCCATGTGCAGCCTTCAGGCTAACTGTGCCAACTATTTGCAGTTTTTCATAGCCCTTTGTCACTTCTTGCCTTCACATCTGCCCTTTTCTTTGTCTGAAACAAACTTCTTCATCCAACTTCCCCATCACACACACACACACACACACACACACACACACACACACACACACAGAGAGAGAGAGAGAGAGAGAGAGAGAGAGAGAATTTTTGCTTGCCTAACTCCTGTGCACTTTTCAGTATTCACATCAAATATCACCTCTTCTGGGAAGCCTTCTCCAGTCTTCTAGTCAGATCTGTTCCTCTCTGTTCTTACAACCCCTGGGTATCTCTTTCATGGCACTCACTGCTCCTGCCCCTTGACCAATAGTGTGTCCTGGGGTGGGTGGAGCCTTTTTTCTTTGTACCGCCAGAATGTGAGCAATGCCTGGCACATAGTAGGAACTCATATTTGAGGAATTAATGACTAAATATGTGTACAATAAATATTTACAGAATTACTTAATGTACTGAGGCCAGCTGGATACAGGTAAACAGTCAGGGCTGCAAAGTATATAGATATCCTTTGAGAGAACAAGTATAAAGTAAACTGTTAAAGACAGCCCGAGACCCATGTTTAGAGAATACAAAGAGGAGGAAGAAAAAGAATTCTGGGGAGGTGGGGGAGGAGAAAAGCAGGAAAGTTCAGTGGCAAGGGAGCCTGGAGAGTCAAATGTTTCAGGAAGAGTGGAAGAATAAGTGTTCAACAGATTCAGATGCCACCCCTCCCCCACAGAAAAACCAAGATGAGACAATGACTAGGAAAAGACCAGTAGACTCAGTGAGAATTGGTTCACTCTAAAAATTTTTTTGATTGATTTTAGAAAGGGAGGAAGGGGGAGGAGAGGGAGAGAGAGCGAGAGAGAGAGAGAGATGTGAGAAACATCCATTGGTTCATTGGTTGCATCCTGTATGTGTCCCAACCGGGGATCAAACCCACAACCTAGGCATGTGCCCTGACCAGGAATCGAAACCACAGCGTCTGGTACATGGGATGATGTTCCAACCAGTTGAGCCACACCAGCCAGGGCAAGAGTTGGTTCACTTTTGAAGGGGAGTTTCAGTGGGAATACAACACGTTAAGAAGTAATGGTATGGAAGTGGAGCAAGAATAAGCACAACTTCTCTTCTGATCAGCTATGTGTAGTCACTTCTACATTCTTTAAAGTCAACTATGATGTTGCACCACTGAAAAGATTTTTAATATGCTCTGTAGCATATACCTTAGTACAGAGTGCATGGCTCTAAAGCAGCGGTTCTCAACCTGTGGGTCGCGACCCCTTTGGCAGTCGAACAACCCTTTCACAGGGGTCACCTAAGACCATCCTGCATATCAGATATTTACATTACGATTCATAAAAGTAGCAACATTACAGTTATGAAGTAGCAACGAAAATAATGTTATGGTTGGGTCACAACATGAGGAACTGTATTTAAAGGGCCAGAAGGTTGAGAACCACTGCTCTAAAGGACAATGAACAGTGTGAGACTCCATAGATCTCGCTTCATCCGGAGCTTGAGGAGAGCGCTGACAAGGCCAGCATGCGGGGTCCTTAAGTTCATCCTCAAGCACAGTGATGTGATCTTTCTGAACACAGTAGTTAACTACCCAGGAGCTCTTGGGTGATTGTCTCATGCACTCATGGTGACGAAATATGAGTTTCTTCTATTTCTCATCTCTGTTCACACCCCTGGTTCTCTCATTCTTCTGTAAATTCATGTAGGGCAGTGTGTTGGATATATTTTAACTCTGCTCTCAACAGCTTCTTGCTTTCAGAGTCAGTCCTCTTTCGCTAACTGGGTTACTGGCTGCATGGTTGGTGACATCTCAGAGTCATTTGGGTATTTGCAGCAGCTGCGGGTTATTTTTCCACTGCCGGGCTGTTACATGACTTTGCAGAGTTTGTGTTTTATTCATTCATCAAGTAATATATGACCTCTTGAAGGACAGGAGCTGTGTGTTCTATTATTTATGTCTCTTTTAGTTCTGCTACAGTGCACAGCCTGAGAGAGTGGCACTGCCCTGACCTTCAGGCAGTTTTCAGCCACCAGGGGAAGGGAGATGAGTCAGTACTCAGTGCTAGGTTTCTATGGTCGTTCAGATGCAGCAAAAAGAGAGCTCTCGCTGTCCCCAAGGGACTCGGCGAAGCCCTGTGTGGTTGAGGGGAATCCTGAAGAGGCCCACGTTGTGGTAGGCATTTCAGGCCCAGGGAACCTTGAGGGAAAAGCACAGGGGCTTCAAACACAGCGTGGGAAGGACATTTGCCTAAGTTCAGGGTTTTCTTAAGGAAGAGGCAGAGAAAGATGAGGCTGGGGAGAAAGCCGAGGTCAGGACATAGGGTTCTTATGCCACACTAAGAGTTCTTTTTCCCTTTGTCCTGCATAAACTAGCGAGTCACTGAAACCTTTTATGCAAGAGAGTTAGATTTGTTTTTAAGAAAGATACTTTGACCATAATCTTAATGATCAGTTGAAAAGATGATACTGGAGAAAGAAGACCAGTTGGAAGATAATGAGGATTCCCAGTGTTTTCAAGACATTCATGGAGATGAGGTGGCACCTGCTTACTCACTGAGTGATAATAAATGGCCACAGTCAAGCTTTGCAGAGCCTCTGTGCATTTGACCTCCAGAGCAGTCCTTGGAATCACCTAGAATAATGACCATCTGAACAGTGTTTGCTGCATGAGTCTCCACAGCTTCTCAGCACATGTTTGCCTCTTCTGCTCTTTACATGGTAGAAGCCCATATGCTCACAGCAGAAATGTGGCAGGATATGAAAATGAAAAGGCAAGGAATTTGTAGTTAAGAGATCAACCCTGGGTTGCCAGAGAGATCTTTACACTATCTAATAGGGTTTTCACAATTACTTTATATACCAGAAAGATCTGTCAAATATTAGTTACTAGAGGCCCATTGCACGAAGATTTGTGCAATAGGCCTTCCTTCCCCTGGCTACCGGCACCGGTTTTCCTCCAGCACCCCGGACCCAGGCCTTCGCTCTGGCCAGAATCTTCGTTGCCGCCAGAACCTTCAATCTTCGCTGTGGCCAGAGTGCCACTCCTATAGCTCCCTCCATCCCCGCCTTCCCCCTCATAGCAGGCGTCCGCCCCACCCAGGTGCTCTGCGCCTGCATGCGTGCTGCCCAGAGGCCCGGAGTAGCTGGGGGGCGGGGCCGCCGCCATCTTTGTCGGGTTAATTTGCATACACACTCCTGATTGGCTGGTGGGCATTGCAGAGGTATGGTCAATTTGCATTTTTCACTTTTATTAGTGTAGATTATTATCCCATTGGGCATCTGAGTTCTGGCTATCAGGGTTTGAGAGAGAGTCCTGATTTAGAAGCTAACCAGATGGTTATTGTACTTAAAAAACATACAACCTTTAGAACCAGGGTCAGTTGGCTGTGGCCTGTGTGCCAAACCCAAAGCTAAGAATGGTTTTTACATTTTCAGTGGTTCTTCAAGTCCTACATTATAGCTTTGATTTTGCCACTTGGTTTTCAAAATCTAAAACATTTACCATCTGACCTTATACAGAAAAACTTTGCCAACCCCCTGCTCTAGGACATTATGTAGCCAGCAGCTTTTTACCAAGAAGTCTGAATTCTCTCTTACTGTGTGATCACCGTCTTCTCTGCTGGTTGACAGTGATAATGGCATTACAGGCATACCTCATTTTATTGAGCTTCGCTTTATTGCTCTTCACAGACGTTGCATTTTTTACAAATTGAAGGCATGACCCTCCACTGGCAAAAAGATAATGACTCTCTTTATTGAGATACTCGCTTTATTATACAGTGCTCTAGAACCGAACTGGCAATATCTGCGAGATATGCCTGTATATACCACAACATAAACTTGGTGATAAAACTCCCCATAAGGTATTTCTGTAAAATATCCATTTACTTTAGAAGTAGAATTAAGCTGAAACCCACTATGAATGTATCATGCATGGTACAAGCCAAGTGGGAATTTTGTCAAAGCCATGAAGTCAGTTGGTGCTAATTTTTGTGTTACCTCTTCACTTCCTGGGTGGCCCAGTGTTTCCTGAATGATCATCACTGAGCCATCTGTTTGACCTGCTCACTGTTATTCATACATGTATTTCAGTTATTTTCTCTGTATTAGGTTGAACTGAGTTAGCTATATTCTCTCACCCTCTCTTAGTTACATTTTGTGGCTGTGAAAATTGTTTTTCTCTTTATCCACCCCAGCAACAGTTGTTAGGTAACATTGAACATATGCATTATTATGAGTCATATCTGCCTTGTAAATCATGAGAGTTCCTATTATTAATCGAATGTTTTAAATTAGGTATTTTTATTTATTTTTTTTAATTAGGTATTTTTAATTTAGTAAAATATTTTTAGTGTATGAAAAGTGCTCTCAGGTACTCAATGTATTTTTTAGGTTCCTAAATAGCTTTCTTGAGATAGAAATCACATAACATGTAATTCACCTACTTAAAATATATAATTCGGTGATTCTTAGTATAGGCACAGAGCTGTACAACCACCACTGCATTCAATTTTAGAACCTTTTTCTATCTAAAAAGAAACTGTACGCATTAGCAACCACTCCCCAATACTTCCACCTCTCTAGCACTGGGCAACCACTAATCTATTTTCTGTTATATAGATTTGCCTATTGTGGACATTTCATATAAATGGAACCATACACTATCTGGTTCTTTATGACTGTCTTCTTTCACTTAGCATCGTACTTTTGAAGTCCATCCACGCTGCAGCATGCATGATTGTCCCTCAGTGTGTTTAAATAGCAAGGCCCATCTAGTAGACCTTTATGCTGGTAGGTGCCAACCCGTCGAACCAGTTTCTGTCATTGCCACTTCATCCGGCTAGATCTCTGAGTAAGTTTCTTACTTCTTGACCTCGCCAACATATAATTTCCATTAACACCCTTTTCACAAAAGATATTTAATGTCTGGCCAGACTCTTAGGAGCACCACAATGAACAAGACAGTGTGGTCCTTCCTCTCAAGGAGGCAGTTACAGTAAAATATTACAAGTGCTGTTCCAGAAGAAGCACCTGACCCAGCCATGAGGGTCAAGAAATTGTATCTGGAGGAAGTACATTCCAAGTGGAGCCTGAAAACTATGCGTATACCTACGTGTGTATGTGCATGTGTGTGTGTGTAAGAGAGAGAGAGAGAGAGAGAGAGAGAGAGAGAGGCAAAGGAGTCCACCTTGAATCCAGAGGAACACATTCTGTCTACCCCGAGAGAGAGAGAGAGAGAGAGAGAGAGAGAGGCAAAGGAGTCCACCTTGAATCCAGAGGAACACATTCTGTCTACCCCAGCTGCTTTAAGAACAGCATGCGAACATGTGGCACTTCTCAGCACTTTTCCTTTTTAGCTTCGTCTGCTCTTTCACTTTTTGGTGCAATTTGATTTAAAAACAGTTCTCATCAAGTTGCTGTGCTGCCTTGTCAACAAAGCAACCTAATCAGTTAGAGCTAGCTCTTTTATGACTCTTTCCTCTTAAAAGTATGAAGTACATAGTATCAGGTGTGGAATAAGTTACTAGTGCTTGGTTGATAAAAATCTGCAAACTAAATGAAAATCAGGTGCTAGGACTCTATTTTCAAGTGAAATTAAAGGTGAGCTGTTTATCTCAATCGGTACCTCTTTGCAGAAGCTACGGTTATGTTTTGGTGTTCTTGTAGTTGATCATACTGACCTTTTTGACAAAGATAGGATCAGTCTAAATTCTAATCCCTTTCCAAGACTGACTCATTAAGTGACCTCGAGAAAATCATTTCTATTTTCCATCCTACCTTGGTATCTTCATGAGAAAGAAGAGTATGGTACAATCTCATGATATTTAAGAAAGCAAGTAAGTGATGATGTGCTTGGTTTTTGGAGATGTTAGAAGGTATAAGCAATCCTAATGCCTGTTATAATTTTTTTCCTTATCACTTTTTAAAACTAGGAATGAATTTAGAAATGTACCTGAAGCAGATATAATGTTAAACCAGGGTATATAAGAAAAATGGTCCTCATAATTATTTTACAAGTTTTCTGACCCCAAAAGAACCATCCCTATGGGTTTTGAAAACAATTCTAGGACAGGATAGAGCATGTGGGGTACCCCTGCGTTTCTCAGGAAAATTCCTCTGATCATCTTGAGAAGCCATGAATTTCAGGGAACAACCCCAGGTGCAGACCCTGCAGCCTGAGGCTGTGGGTTATAGACGTGGTTTGTGAATAAAGCAGCAGGAGCCCAGGAATTTCTGAAGTAGTGAGTCATGATCTCCTGTCCTAGATAAGAGCACAGATTATCGGTACTGAGATTTTTTTAAATTATACATTTTAAATGACAGTGAGTGGTGTGTTGCATACATGTTGAAACTGGATTCCCGGGCCAGGGAGTGGCAGGTATAGGCACAGTCTGGGGCTTTGGCCTGAGAGGCCACTGCACAGCATCTCACTTCTCCGCATCGGCCTTCCAAATTTATAAACTGCTCACCGCTGCAGTTCTCGTAGGATGGTTGCTCAGGGAGCTCCAGGCTCCTTAGAGGTCCTTAGTCAATGCAGGAACACCAGTGAGTAGTACAAAGAGTATAAGATGGAGGTAGTCCAGACCAGTGTCTGCCTACGAATCCCTCCCACAGCAGCTCTGGTGGTGGCCGCAAGGTTCCTGCTGGAATAGTAAAGATCTGTTTTTGAAAGAGAACTGCTTGGCTTCAAGAGATTCTTTAATATGTTGATAAGGAAGAGGCAGATCATCATTAGTTTAAAGAACATCTAGTCCAGCTTCTCGTTTTACAGTTTGACTGAGCTCGGGTGGGGAGGGAGCGCAATAAGGATTTGGGTTGTCCAGAAAGAAGCCAGTTACAGATGAAGGACAAGAGCTGGGCCCTGTTCAAACTGGCAGGGGGCAGATGGTCAGAAGAAATAGGGGAGCGTATTTTGGGTGACAGGCACAGTTTGAGCAGACACTGTCCACAACACATGAGGGACACAGTGAGTGGAAGGAGCAGGAAGGGGAGAGGTCAGAAACAATTGATGATGGGGCCGGTTTGGGAGGACCTTCAAAACAGTGTAGAATAGATATGATGCAGTACGATTTTCAGCTGAGGCACTGGCTTTGTGGAAGGGCTCATAACGAAGACTCACCTGCAGTGGTGTGCAGACTGAATTGGGGCAATATTCGTGGAAGTGATGTCATCCGAGAGGCTGCCAGCTTAATCTCAAAGTGGGACAAAGATATACAGTGACAGACCCCCT